ATGTGGAGATTTATGATGCGACTGATGAATAAATTGTTAGGAATTCAAGCCTAGCTAGGGAGGGAGACTAGAAAAAAATCTCAAGCTCTCTCTCTTAGTGACCTTCAAGCAAGAAAAATGGTTTGGATTGAATCAACAGAATCAAATTCATCATTTAAATCAAAGGTCCCTTTTTAAAATGGATAAACAAGCTACTAAAAAAGAACCAAGAGTCCCAATCAAAGCATTCACTTGGTTGATAGATGAGACAATTGTGCAAAGGATGATCAACATGAGCAGCCACGTAGGCATCAAGCTAGCAACAGCACGTGGACAACAAGTTTGGTGCAGCTTCAGCCGCTGGGCTCAGATCCTCATCTACTAGGCACCATGCTTCCTTCTTTTTCAACCAAGTTGTTGGAATGGGACTAACATTGGGATTCCAAAGAAACTTGTTGGATAGTTACATAATGCATCCAAGTGAAGATTCTAGCATTCCTCCAAGTGAACATTTGGCTTGCTTCTCTATTCTTGATGTTTCTTTGCTTCTTTCCTTCATTCTTTTGTTCCTTTCTTCAAGTGTTAAATCCTTTTATTGTGCTTAAGGCTTGGCCTTATTCCATCAACCTAGAACTAGAAAATACCTAAACAAACAAAAACATAGGAAAACACTTAGGTCTTAGGAAATAAAAAAAATATCTAGGCTAAAACACACAGATGCATGGCTAAATGATGTGCTACTTAAAAGCCTCCAAGAGAGATTGAGTTAAATTATTAATGCTTATAATACCTAGAATAGATATTTAGCTTCTCTCAAAAACAAAATAGGTTGAGACAATGTCTCTGATAAAACATATTAAAAGACTTAATATAAAAGAAAGCTTAAGCAAGTTAAGCGTTGCCTGTCTAAAAATAAACAAAAGATAAAGAAGTGTTTACTTGACTAAATGATGTTGATGAGTGCATATTTATGCCCACATTTATGTTTTAAAATTCAAATTTTTGATGAGATTCTTTGCTTAAATGATTGATTTAAAATAAGGTTTATGATGATTGGCTTTATTGGGTTTGGGAATTAAAGAGGCTTAAAATGTTATTTTAGTTGCATAAATTATTTTGGATAGTCTAATGTTTGTTGATGCAGCTGGAATTAAAGTTTGAATTGCAATTCTGAAAAAAGAAAGAAAAGGCTAAAGTGCAATTAGATAATATTTGTCAAATCCTTTTGTATTTAGAAAAGAAATTATCAAATATTCTCAATAACCGATTAAATCTGTTGAATATTTGGAAAATATTAGATATAAGATAAAAAGATCTTATCAACAGAAGACTCATAGTCCAAGCCCAATCAAGCCTATATAAAGAGACCCAAGGGAGGTAGAAAATACAACTCATTCATCCACCACTCCTCTCACTTTTATTTTGCCATGTATTCTATTCCATCCATGGAGGGCTAAGCTTTTAGGGCTATTCCACTGTAATTTCATTATGGATTCTGAGGTTAAGTTGAATTAATGTAATTGTTTCTTTTGATTATTGATTTGAGTTGCTCTCTTTCTATGTTTTTCATCTCTCAATCATATTAAAAGCAATGATTTTTGCCTCATAAGGTGTTTGAATCTACATGTATATTAATCATATGAGTTCAAGGATTTCTAGGTTTGGTTGAGAATCTACTTTGATTAAATTTAGGAACTTTCATATGATTAAACAAGTTTTTTCTATCAATTGAGAATGTACTTTTATTAGTGGTAATAATTTCAACTATAATTAATTGAAAATTTACTTTGATTAATTAGCTTTTAATTTGGTTAGGAGAGTTAAGAATAAACATGATTAAACATAATAGAATTTGATTGAGAATGTACTTTGATTGAATTCATTGTGAATAATCTAGAAAGGTCTTACATTTGATTGAGAATCTACTTTGGTCAACTGCATGATCACCCTTAAATTAATTAAGAATGTACTTTAATTAATTTGAAACTTGAACAATAATCAATTGAACAATGATCTGTGGATAACTGATCATGAATCTATCTTGGGAAAGTAGTGGAATTGTCCTATTTCATCATAATTGTTTCTAAGTTTCTTATTTGTTCTTCAAACATTCTCCAAACAACACTTTTATTCTTGAGCATTGCGTAACATTCATAAGAGTCAAATATTGAAAAGCAATTTCGTATTCACTTTAACCCTATCTACTTTCTTGAATACTACTTGGCAATACTGAAGTTGTCTTGAAAAGTAGTATTAATTAAATAGCTTCAACAACAGCGCGATGTCATGAACTCAACAAGTACCTCATCTTATGATGAAGTATATATCTACACTTGATATCTTCAAAGAAAAGAACTTAATTGTAAAATACTACCTAACAGTAAGAAATGAAAAGCACTTTGTTGTTCTGAGCATGCATTAAATGACATTAAATGCTCAACATTCAAATACAACAAAAGTAATAAGAAAAGTCATATCTGTTGCATGCACAGTTTACTCTAATTTTTGCAGATAAGTTATTCTACACGCAACCACGGTGCTACAAATCAAATATCAAAAAGTGGACATTAGAGACAAAGGAGATATTCACAGAATGTTCCTCACTTAACGCAAAGTCTAAAAAGATCGTATAACCTACTTCAACCAAAGGACTGAAAAAGCATGCCTCCTTTGACAAAGTGAACTTACCCAATGACTATTGTGAAAAAAAGAATTAGAAAGCACAAGTATCAAGGCTATGAACTACAAACTCAGTCTAACAGACAAATACCCATGAAGCCTATAAATAGAAGATCTCCCAAGAAGAAAATCAAGAGGATAGCTTAAGAGAATATCTTAAGAAAGAAGATCATACAATGATATATCCTTCCTATAAAAAAGAAGAGAAAGAGTTCAAGAAAAAGAATACATCTTAGCTAAGAAAAATAGAAAAGAAGAGAAAAAGAGAAAGAGATACACTCAAGTTTCATTGTCATATTGCTTACTATTGTAAGAGAGAAGAGAGAAACACCTGCGAGTGTTTAGACTGTTTTGTATTGTATTCAAATCCTCTTAGTGAGAGATATATTTCGAATTACTTGTAAGAAATCGTTGATTGCAATTCTGAAGAGAATTAAAACACTCAACTAAACTCGGTTGAGTTGAGGAATCTTGGCAAAGTTGCTAAGTACCAAGAGTGATTTAAATAGTCAAAGGAAATCTCGGCAGGGTACAACTATCAACAGTGGTGCTACTACTCATTTGTAACCGTGTGAAGATTATAGTGGAACCCTCTGTGGATGACACTGGACGTAGCTTAGTTGGAACAAACTAGTATAAAATATTTTGTGCAATTATCTCTTCTCTTACCTAAACGATCCTCTTGTTAAAATCTGTAGTTGCGCTTTATTTTCAAACACAAGAATCTTTTAAGCTAAACGATTTATTTCATAAAGGAAATTCTTAACAAAATGTTGTAGTATATATATTATGAATAGCATCTAAAAGTTATTATTGCAAAATACTATTAAGTCGAGCCTACGATTGTTTAAAAGAAGATTTCAAGAGCTCGATAATGTGCTATATCAGAAGGGTTGCAAAAAGTTTTCCATTAACATTATTTAACCACCCCTTCTAGTGTTTTTCAAGTACTTCAATAGCGATCTTGATAGCGTTATGGTCGCTTGGCCGAGACAAGCAAAACAATGGTCGTTGGTTGAAATTGATTCTTCGGTCACGATGACAGTGGCGACGACGATTTTAATGAGTTCTCCTTTACCTAATACATTGAGCAACAAAAGAATATATTATTATAAATTCAAACATATTATGAAAAAGAGATGACACAAAAACAAACTATAACAAACAAGCTTTAACGACCTTATTAAAAACATGTTAAAAAATAAGCTTTTGCTAGCAAATTCGATTGATGAAACAATCACATTTTAAGTGAAATTACATGTAAAAAATGCATCAATCATCTAACTGTTTATCCTTATTAATGTGTTTAATAGGATATATATATATATATATATATATATATATATATATCGTTAATTAATATATCCTCTACTATGAAGTTATATCTCTAGAAGCAAGGAATATATACTTTTCCTTGTAAAACAACTCTTGTACAACTTCAAAAGACATTATGCACTCAATACTAAATTTTATAAGACATTGTGCACTCAATACTAAATTGGAGAGACATTTTGCACTCAATACTAAAATTTTATAAGACATTAGTTGATCGTTATGAGTGGCTTTATGTATTAAAATAAAGTTGAAGTAACAAAGAACAATACTTATATTCATTCTATTGAGATTAACGAAACTCTTTTTAGGTTGTAAAATTAAATATTTCTCTTTGTCATTCCTTTTATATTACTTTTAGGAAAAGTTTGTTGAGAGGTTTCAAAATTCTGACGAGACCCTAGTTAAAATTTACTAAAGTTTTTCGAAGCCTTCTAAAAGTTCTATTCAACGTTCCTTTATAGAGTAATGCATTATACATAATTCTATATTTGATGTTTACAAATTCTTTTTTTTTTTTTGAAAAAGCATATATTTATGTAAATGGTTTTGTACACGTGGGTACTTTGTTATAGAGGTAACTATTGAAATAATAAAGTAGATAGTTGTAAAAGTTATTCTGTCAAACTTACTTTTACCAAAGATAAGTTATTTCAATGCAAATCCACTTTTGAGTTGGATGCAATTTATCTTTCAAAGGCTAGATAAAACCCGGAAAGGACAATTTGACTAAGAAAAATTCTTTTTATCTTTTCACTCTATCATAGCTTAGATCTGTGTCCAAACATTAGAGGAAAAGGAAATCATACTTGAATACCATTTATTAGTCATGTTTAGGCGCATTCTCTTTCGAATAAATCAACATCATTTGGCATGTATATATATACATTTCTCTCTTTACCATTCAGGAAGTTGAAAAAAACATATTATCATGACAATATTTAAATTATTGCCAACAATGGAAACATAGCACATTTCCCAGAAATAAAGGTTCTCCTTACTCAAATGAATCCACAAACTTGATGGTAGACTTTTATACTTAAGCAATCATCTGCTTCAATGGCGTTAATAGTCAAACACCTTTGCATTCAGTATTATCTGCATTAACCATGTATTTGTACACAAGCACAACCAAGCAATGTTATAATAATGTTGGTGCTTTAACATTCTCTATACAATATAAGGCTAAAAACTATCATAAAATAATCATAATTCATCATCACTCGAAATTGATAATCTAGTTCCACAGCAAAACCATTGACGGTTTTGTTTTGTCATGTTATATACAAGGTTTTAATAATCACAATCTACTGTTTCTGAAACGCGTTACATGCTAGGAATATATTCATTCATTCCAATCAATAATTCACAGCCTGTTATACGGTCCAAGACCCCATATTTTCCGTCCTCTTCACAATTTAATGATTTTATCTGCAATTGCAAGAAAGAAACCATGAGAATTCATGATGATTTCTATATCTCAAATTAGTAGTGACATATTGTCAACTATGTTGTGTTACAAAATTTTGACTGGATGAAACATTAACAAAAACAGGATCAAACCTACTGAACAGAAGATTCTAGACATTATAAGGTCAAAATACTTGGAACCCGGGCAACTCAACATGCATTACGATACCTTTCGCTCCTTTCTATTTCAATCCATCTACAATAACCTTCAATTTTCCTCGTCCTCTATCCTATGCAAATACAAACCAGCCTTTTAGAAAATAAGATCGCAAGACAAATAACTCATATCATACCTAAAACCTGAACAGAAACTTTTGAACAGCCATTGGAATTTAATAGGAAGCAAGGTGAATCAGCGTGACATTCTCCTCCTCTCCCACGAAGGAAACAAAATGATACAAATGAATAAACAACTAAGCGAATACAATGATGATTTGAATAGAACAGAATGAGAAGGATTGAATTGCACCTCATTGCATCCATTTCATTCTATTTCAAACAGAGTAATCTACGATCTAATATCCACTCAATTCCACCCTTTTGTGATTCTTTCTAATGAACAGATAAATAGACAAATCAGCACAATTACAAACTTGCTCTGTCATAAAAAAACACAAGTCCATATCCAATATTGATATCACAACTAAGCACGAGGGAGCATTCAACATTTTTTCCAAATTTACCGAACAAAATCTTATTGTAGATTCCTTTTCACAGCACACAAGAAAAAAGCATCCCCTAAGATATAATTGCCAAAGGGATGAAAATAAAAATAAAAAAATAAAAATCTTTTAGGAAAACAAAAAGTTTCTTTCTTTGAGAAATTACCTTGTGGGAGGTGGGTTTTGGGCACGAAGTGTGCTGTAAATTTTGGAGAACCGACCAATTTGGGGCTTCACTCGGACAGGTTTCTTTTTGAGGCCGAAAACCTCTTGCACCAAAGGAACGTGAACCAGCACCAGTTTCCACGCCACAAACCAACCTACACCACCTCACACACGTGTTCCCTTTTCAACTCAAAAAATCAACGCGATGAAGAGAGAATCAAGAGAATGAAAGAATTACCAGAAGATATTAAGAAGAGAACGAAGAGAATGGCGAAAACGGGGCGCAGAAAGAAGATCACCGTGTATTCCCAAAATGACAACGAATGAGCCATTTACAAGCAACAACCTGAACTTCACCTCCGACTTCGTCTTTTCTAGGCTGCGTTTGGGCCTTTAACACTTCTGGCCCAGACTTAAAAATATAAAACTGTTTAATTAAAACTTTAAGTACATATTAAATTGCATAATTCACCAATTATTTAACTCTCTACCAAACGCATTCTCCCACACTATTTTAACCAAAAACAAAAAACAAAATTCAGCAAGCATCGATTCCATTGGAACCCACTTTTCTCTCCTTATTCATTCATTCCCTTCTCTTTTTCTTCACCACTATTACAATTCTCTTTTCTTCCTTGCTCAACCTTGCTTCGTTTTGCTTCATTTCAATGGAGACAACTACTTCCGCAACTAACTGTCCACGCCGCTCGTTCCGCTGCTCCTTCGTCACGCGTTGTTGTCGCTGCTTCTGCTGTTTCTACTCCTTCCCTTAGCCATATGCATCTTCTTCTCGGGGTGCCACATCTATAAATCCACCTCATCATCCTGGAGAGGGAAGAGCTGCCACAGTTCAAGGTTCGCAAGTGGTGAACTTTTTATTTTATTTTTGAAATTAAGGTTTTTAATTTGGGAAATCTTTTTTTCCAGTGGCTTAGATTAAGATTATCTTGTGAAAGTGTTTAATCAGCTTAGATACTGTTCAGTTGGATTGCTGATTGAATAAATCACATATCCTTATCCTGTAATATCATTGTTGAGTTAATGTAAAATAGTTTTACAAAATTATAATTTTTAGATGACTTTTTCATTCATAATTTCTTCATCCATGAGTCTAGTTGCTGTGTTTATTTAGAGTTATCAATTTAATCCATAATTAATAGGTTAATTCTAATACATTTAAAAAAAATCTTTTAAAATATTCTTTTTAAGTGAAAAAAAAAATAATGATATTTTAATAATATTTTTTTATGATATACAGATAATATTAAAATATTATAAAAAAAATATTATTAAAGTATTATTATTTACAGATAAATTTTAATCCTCAAAACCTCCACTCAGGTAAGGTGAGTTTAGTGTACTACAGAATATGATAATTATAATAAATATTTTATTTTCCATCAATATGATAACGTGAGGTGAGTAATGCGTTTTATTTATAATAAATATTTTCTTTTCCTTGTGATAACGTGTTTTATTTGAATATAAAATAATTATTGTTATTTATAATAAATGATAAGATATTTTATTTTTATGCGTTCATAGATTTAATTTAGTTAAATAAATATAATATGATATAGAATTGTGATATTTCTTAACACGCACAATTAATCGAAAGGAGCACAAATAATTGACGTAAAGTTTGTTTATTTGTTGGAAAAGAATTGTTTCACAATTTTCTTAAAAATACATTAATTCAAGATTGTTTTAATAATATAATAATATAATAATATATAGAGTTAAATATGTTTTTCGTCGCTCAAGTATCACACGATTTTGGGTTTAGTCCCTACTCGAAACTTTGATGGTTTTTAGTCCTCATAGTTTTGAAACATTTACTATTAGTCCTTAAAATTGGACGGCGTTAACTTTTAGTAGATGTGACAAACGACGAGACCACGTCTTATGCCAGCTTGCCTCTTCACTCTCTGCCACGTTGCTTTTCTTCAATCTGGCAAACCCTAATTTGGGATGGAAGGGGGCTGAAACATTCATCATTGCACCTGTACCAACATAGCAACCCACCACCTATTCTTCGACCAAAACCTTGATCTGAAGAATAACAACCTAAGTAGTTTGCCTTCTCCTAGCCATCAAAGTTTGGTGTTTTGTGTGTTTATGTTTATGTGATTGAGTTTTGATAATTGTGGTTCTTCCAGTAACTAGGGCTGGGCACAATTTACTTAAAAACTATAAACTATAGTTATCTGTACTCTTTTATACTTAAAAAAAACTTAAACTATTTTTATTATAACCTATTTAACTGTTTAACAATTCAGTTTAAATATACTGAACTTATTTTATTTTTAATACAGTTAACTGTACTGTACTATATTCTATGGTTTAGGTTTGCAATAAAAAATTTCTCCTATCTCATTACATTCTTTTCTCAGTATTTCTATGGTTGAAGGCTCCCGTGGAAGGTTCGCACGCTCGTCCCCGTTGAAGGCCCGCGCCGTTGAAGGCTCGTCGCAAACCGTGACCCAATCGCTGCCCACCGTTGTTGTCGAAAGAGAGCTTCAACGAAAATCCACGGTGACTCTGCCCTAGCCCACGCGCGACCGCTGCCACCGTGACTCTGTGGACAAAGGAGAGTTTCCACCAACGGTGACCCTGCTCTGACCCTTGTCGTTGTTGCTGATCGACTGTCGAGGGTCCGTCTTGTTTCACTGCCATACCGGACCGTCGAGGTAAGTAGTGATTCGACTATTTGTGTTTCCATCCAGCTTGTACTCTTGCCTTCTGTCTGCCCTCTCTCCGTGTTGTCTCTACCTGTCTGTGCGTCCTCGTTGTCTCTGCCCTCTATGGGTGCTGTCCGCCTTACTCTGTATTTTTTTTTCCTTAAACCTAATGATTTATGAATTTTAATGTTGTGGATTCTCTTTTCGTTTTTCTTCTTTCCTTTCTTCGCCATTTTTATTGTTCCCCTCTTTTTCATTTTTTGTTTTTTGTGCTTAGTGGATAAAAGGTAAAAGATAAGCTGCTTGATTGATGAAATTTAAGGTGTTTTTATGGTGCAATATAAGTTGGTACTTCTTACCTTTATTGATTGTGTCTCTTAACCCTAGAAAATAGTTGAGTTCTTTTGAATTTCACTATTATGTAGACCCTTTTTTTTGGATATTCCGTGGGTGTTTGCTACCAAATAATCTCAGTCATCACATAACGATTCCTTTCCTTATATCGTGTTCCTAAAGAAGTTTTGGTTGAGGCAAACAGAAGAATTCCTCCGAACTGCAGATGGGAGTGAAAAACAGGATAGCATGCATGCCAGCTATTATGTTCCTGAATTCTAATATTTTAGCTAGCTTCTTCTTTTATGATGTTGTTTTTGAATGATTGAATGTTATTTTGCTTTCCAAAAAAACAACCATTTTGATAATGCAAAATCGACCTCACATTTTGACTTTTATGCCGCAATTCAATATGTTTCAATATGTTGTTATAGTCTTTTGCTCTATATCTTTTGTTCCAACACTTGCCTTTATACTCTTTCTTCAACTTCATGCTTTGTTCATATTTTAAACATTCTCTCTGCTCAAATAATGGTGATACTGTAGAAGAACACTCCACGTAACTCCCATGTTTTTTTTCTTCAGTTGAACAAGCTAGATCATATTTAAAACCTCAGTTGCCTCAGACATCATGGTGTTTGAATTTTAATATATGTTGAACCCTTTTCATCTCACTCATAAACAGTTTTAAATACCAGTTTAAAGAAATGAAAAACCCCCCCTTTTATTGCGTATACTTTTTGTGTATCACCTCTTATGATGCCTTGAACAGTGACTCTTTATTCATTCTTGCTCCTTGGTTTAGACTTGAACTAAATTTGAGTATATCAATCATTGACAGAGTGAGTATTTTTGGAACTAGTTCTTTTTCCTCCTTTGGACCATGTTCTTTTTAGACTTGAACTAAATTTGGTATTATTTTCTGTCATTATGTGGTCTTGTGGAAGGCTTGTCTGCCTTGGATTTTTCGTTTTGGCTCAATAAATATAGTTTTTCATTTTCTTAACTTCAGAGACCAACAGAGCCATAGACATTACCAATGATAACAGGACTTGTTAATAACCTACCCCCATTTATTTGCATTCAAGTTGATTTTCTTTTTAAAAGAATATTTTCCAACTCACATGCTTACGGGCTTCACTTTCCTAGTCTTGTATCTGGTTTGTGAATAAAATTACGTGGACAGATTTTGATATATTGTATTGAAGTAAAATAAAATCAATGGCTTGAGTTAGTTGTGTGCTTTTGTGATTTTTTAACATAGTTCAATGTAGAGAAAAATTCAACTAAGTGGTTGTCTAGACGATAACTGTTGTTTCAGTAAGAAAGATTTGAGAACTATTAGAAGATGCCTAGGGATAGACATGTTGTTTTGTTGTATCTTAGTTGACAGGAATATTGCATCCTGTGTAAAGGGAGAAGGCTCCCTTGGAAGCTTAGGAATTGTGTTCTTTGTCACCAAGAATAATAATACAGACTATACAGTGTTTTTCTGTGTGAGATTTCGAGTGTGTGCCCGGTGTTCTTTTGGTGTGAGTTCTGGTTTCTTGTTCCAGAAACCTCACATGTGGTTCTGTACTTATGAATTTGGCGGTCTGCGTCACTAGTTCTTGGGAAGAGTATCTATACTTTTCTACTTTTGTACTTTACTTTTAGTTCCACTTTCAGTACTTAACATGTTCACCCTTCACAATTTAATGTATACTAATCCAGTTGTTAGTGATATTTTGGTTTAAAAGTTTATTGGTTATGAAATGTTTATTAGTTCATAGAAAAACTATCTTGCAATTGCATCCCACACATGGTACTGGACTACAGAGTAGTAAACAAACGCATCTGTTCGTTTTCACATCGAGTCTGTTGTTAATATATGGTCTAACCTAGACGTTGCGGTGGCAAAGGTGGATATCCTTTTTCCTGGAAGGCAAGTCCTCTGTTCGTTCAAAATCTCGTGTGCTATATGGTTTGGTGTTTCATGTTGGGTGGTTCTTCTCGTGAGATGGAAATTTCTTTATTTTCCGTAGTTGATTTTTCTAGTGCCAAATTTGCGATTGAACTTTCAAGAGAATATTGATTTTCCTGCTTTAAACGAATAAATCATATCCTCATCTTTTGGCTGGAACATCAACTATATCTAAGTACTAAAAGTACTTTCTGGAAGGAGATTATTGTTTGACAACTGTTATTTTATGATTTCACTCCAATGACTTGATTTTAGTTTATGCTATTGATCATATATGACTATACTTGTTTGCTGTTTTTGATCACAAATAGGTGTTTTGCCTGTTTCAGATCTTGGATCTTGCAATTGTTCAAGTGCTGTAATTGCACTGCTGCTGTTGCTGATTTTTCAAGTGCTGATTTTGCAATTATTTAATCGCAGTATTATTATTGGATACGAGATCATAATGACTCAGATCGACTTCATCCCTGCATTTTTATATAATGCA